ATACTACTCCCCATCCTGTCGAATAACTAAATTCTTTTTTATCTTCGTCATAATCATTTATTTGTCCTCTTGTCCATGTAGCAGTAAAAATTGAACTAAATCCACCTTCAGTCAACTTTGTTATATTTTCAAATTGCTCAAAAGGTATCCATTCTAAAACATAAGTTGGCAGAGATGATTTCATTTGACATTGTTGAATAAAATTATCAATTATGTTATTTCCAGATGTCCAAGTGGTGAAAAGACTCTGCAGTTGTAAACTAATACATCCTTCACAGTATCTATCAGAGTATCTTGTCAATTTACATTTGTTACATTGTTTTGGTTTGCCCTGTTTATATGTTGCATTATCTAATTCAAACTCATAAATAAACCTTTCCTTACAATATTCTTTTTCATTTTCAGAAAGCTCCTTGTTTTTTTCGACCAATGAAAAAAAATAATCTTTTCTATTTTCACTATCAGAGTTAATCACTGCATTATTGTACATTTCACCATAAATTTTACGTACAAAATCCTTTCTTTCTAGTGATAACGATGATAATAGTTTAATATATGACATTATATAATATATAAAATTCGACTTGGTGTTTTAATGAATAGAATGGTTTCTGTGTTACAGTTCCTTTCTAAATATCGTAAATTTTATATTTTTTTTTCTTTATATATACCAGTCAGACGATTTTACTATATGATCGACATAGCACGTTTTCCGTACAACAGACTTTGAAGGAAGAATTGAATACAAGATTATTAATAAAAAATTTTTATGCATCTAAATAAATAGAATCTTGTGCTTTTGTTCGTTTAAATTCAATTTTTTACTTGTCAATAGCTTGTTTTGTTATAGTGCAATAGCTTCCCAAAGAGACCCATACTTTTTGACTTTAAAGGTCTAATTATTTATGAAAAACAATTCTATTAAGATCATTTTAGCATCATAAGATAGAGTACATTGAGAACTCTCAGAAATATATGGTTTGTTTGGTTTTCTTTGAGGCAGAAGAAATTAAAGGCAAAAAACAATTTTATAAGTTATTTATGACTATTTTATATTAGTATTAAATTTTTTTTTTAATTAGATCATTATACTAATTTTATTGAATTATCTAATTTAGATAGAATACATTGAAAAAATAATTAAAAGCAATGATTCAATGTAATTTTATTTTTATTTTCTTTTTACATTATTATACCAATATTCCCTAACTTTAGTAGATGACATGAATTATTTATTTTAAATAGATTTTCAAATAATCTTTTTGCTACTTCCTTTGGTAAGTCTGTAGGATGATTAAACACTTCTTGAAGAATTTCAAGTTCCTCATTTGTTTTTTTGTGTCTCTTATATTTTAGTGAAGAAGTTTCAATCTCATCAATTGGTGCAACTGTTATGTCTACAACCAGAGTGGGTAAATTGTCTCCAACTTCTATCTCTTCATTTGATCTACCTTTGTTGATTTCTTTGATGAGTGTATTATGTTCTTTAACTTTCACAAAAGCAACATCTTTACTTCATCTACCAACAGTGGAACATGGTATTTTTTTGTAAACTTCTTGATATAATAGATCATTAAGGCGTTTTAGGCATATGAAAATTCTCATCACTTTCCCCTCATCATTTTCTCCTTCACCATCTTGTATATCTTGAAGATTCTGTAAACCAAATATAGTTTTTGCAGTCTCCAGAGCTGATTTCATCTAATACGAATACTCTAGAATCATCATCTTCATCACATTCATTCTCTGATCCCTTTTCTTTTTCAACTAAATTATAATTTACTTCTTCCATCAACTCAATTTCTTTCTCATCTAAATTTAAGTTTTCTTGAGTCAACTCCATTTTATTGTATGATTTTAAAATAATAAATTTACAGCAAGAGAGATGGAGATGATTAAAATGTTAATAATATATAATTATCTGGAATTAATTTTTGCAAGAAATTAACAAATTTAAATCTTTGAATGTTTACATTTATACATGTATAATTGAATTATTGAGTAGCAGCTCAATATTTTTCATGGTAATATTGCATGCGCCATAGTAAATTTGTACACGAATCATTAAATAAAAATGTTTTTTCTTTATAATTATTTTCCTTAAATTTAATTAATTAATTACAATTTGGCATTTAGACTTCGCACACCATACAATCCAACATTAGATTAATTGTATTTAGATTTACCAAAATATATATATATATATCTATAGTCTTGTGCTGTAATTGTTATGCGACTATTATTAAATTATATTATTATTTGATATTATTAAATAAAAATTTGTTGAAAAGTAGAAATTATTTCAAATTTTAAAAAAATGTTTCTCTTCTAATTGTTATTATGGTCCTTGTGATATTTTATGAAGGATAATATTTTATTAATAAATACAATGCTAGTCCATTTTGTTAATTCTATTAATGGAACATGGGATGGGATTTTAAGGATTTGAGTATGGACAGCAAGTATATCAATGGTTGCCAAATAAGCATTAACTGAAGTAAAAGCATAATCAATCACAAATTTTTTTTTCATTTGGTAACACAATTTATCAATTGTTCTTTGTAATCCTTGAAATCAATTATATCATAATTTTTCCTATATAACCACAATCTGATCTAAATTTTTCAAACTGATTTGGTTTATCCAATTAATAGTAGAACAAATAGTAGTAGCTTTGCTTTTGGTCTTATTGGCTAAAAACTGATTCCATTGCCTGTAGGTAAAATAAAATATGAAATATGCATTGGTTTTGCCCATCTTTATGGTTTTCAATCATTGGTTTAATAATATATTGCAAAATTATTTATTTATTTTACCAACAATTTCAATTATTTCTTGATTGTAATTGCTTAAATGGACAAGTTAAGTTAATATTCACAAATTTTGTTATAGTATTAATAAATGGGCTAATTACATGATCAAATCATAATTTGGTTGAACAAAAAAGTGAGTTTTATATTATGAGTGGATTGTTCAACAGTATTCTTAAGCCTTTTTGCAGGTGTTTGGCAGTAACATGATTGTTAATGTTAAACACAAACACATCAAATCATTTCTTAATCTAAATGTAAAATCAGATACCAATCCTAAAGTAGATATTTGAGCTTCAAAATGCAAGTGTCTAAAATCAGGTTCTCCAAAGGCTGTGATGTAGAAGATAAAGCAAATTTTTAGGCTAAAATTTTAGCTTTAACCGAAAGTAATCAGTCTTTATTACACGCCAAGCTACAATGTACGGTTATTATTAGATATGTAATCAATAAAATAGTCATTCTCATTTATTGTTTTGTTGAAAGCAATTGTAGACTAAAGCTCCAAACAGTCTGGGTCCTAATTCAGTTTGGGTTGTTGGTTTGGACTGAACCAAAAATCCGACCTGTCCCAAAACTTTGGACTGTACCAATTATCATCAGGAAATTTTTTCTGACACAGATTTACACTATTTACAAAAATTATGCAATTATTACATTCAGTGTAAATATTACACAATTTTTTATGCAAATATTACAACTTTACATATTAAAAGTTATGGACATAATATTATGGTAGGGCAAATTTCCTGATGTCATACTTGAGGTCAAAATTATTTGAACTGCAATTAACATTTGCATTACACCACCAAAACCTTTTTGGCTATGAAGCATTAAAAATTAAAAAAATTAATAGACCGTCAATGAACTGCACATTTGCCAACCCTGAAATCAAGTATATTGCATTTCTATGCTGTAAAAGAATATTGTTTGCATTCATTTGTATAAAATAAGTAGAAATCAAGTATCAACTTTTGTAGAAACATAAAAACTTTGTAGTAACAAGGCTACTACAAAACTTAATCGCAGCATCAGAAAACAGTATTTCAGAAGGAACAGGCAAAGAAGAAATTGTTGTAGCAATGGAATTTGTAGATGAAGATGTGGATAATTAATGATTTAATACGAACGGTAATTAGAATTATGGCTTTAATAAAAATTATTTCCTTTAATTGGTAATTATGCCCCGAATTTTTCCATTCACTAACTAATTACTTTAAAATTCGGTCCCGTTTACTTCGTCGAAAATCATTTCGTTGACACCCATTTCGTCGAAAATTGTTTCGTCGACAATCACTTCGTCGACAACCACTTCGTCGACAATCATTTCGTCGAAAGTTCATTTCGTCGAAAGTTCATTTTGTCGAAAATTATTTCGTCGACAGTTCATTTCGTCGGCTTATGTATCGTACTAATGATAAATGAGGTGATGATAGTGATGGCAACAATATCGACATTGAATATTTTAGCATTGATAATAATTATTGTTTTTTAGTAGAGTGTGTGGATCAGACAAATTGGTAATATTC